GGCCCCACGATGATCATATCTATGTCTTAGAAAGATCACTTAGGCTGCTGCATGGAGACTGGATTCAGAAAGAGGCATAGAAGAGGGAGACACACAGACACCTGTTCTGAAGCTGCCCAGGGGCCCAGGGGCAGGATAATGGTGACCAAGGCTGTGGCTCTTCTGAGGAGATGTAGAGAAGTAGACAGATGAAGGCGAGCACTCCCAAGTAACTTGAAAGAGAGACTCAAGCCCCTTAGAAGCATTGATGTGAAATATGCACCAATTGCTTTGTCCTTTTACTGGGATTTTGGAAGTTCTCAAACTGGCCCTGTTATATGGTAAAATCGTAGCATGGACTGCCTGAAAACATTCTGGAATTCATTTAGCCAAGTGAAAAACCATGTCGAAGGCCAGCTCCCCGGTCCCTGTGTCACCACATGATCCATCCTCTCAGCCCTCCTGGCCTCTGGCCGGCCCTCGCCCAGGCCCGCACTGGGAACCCCACATTCCTGAGGGGCTGCGGCCAGGGCTGCAGTTGGGTTCCCTGGGCACCCGCACTGCTCTGGGAGACACTCGGTTATCAGCTCCAAATGTCAGCCCACAACTGACGGCTCCCCCAGGCTGGGTTCCAGGATGATTTATTTGCTTGACGGCTGGAATAAGGTTCTGGTAAACCATTTCTCCCCTGCCAAGAAAACAAGCTGGGTTTCTAAAGACAGATATGTGGCTCGGTGTGGAGAGAATAGCTGGGGCGTGAGCATCTTTGGCTGAATGGAGTGCTGTGGGAAATGCGGAGCCCTGGGTTGCTTTCTCTGCCCGCAGTTCTCTGTGGTTGCCGAGTGGGGGAGCAGAGGGGGGCGTTCAGCTGTGGAGGAGGCAGACGGCAGCCAAACTGGACCGGCTATTGCCTGCGCCTCGTGGGAAGCATCCTCCCTTTCCTGATTAAGTCCGTTTAAGATGCAGATGTCTTCTGTTCTAAAAGGACAGAAGGAGCATCAGGGCCTTTCAGAACTGGAGAAAGTCCCCTGTCCCACAGGAGCTGGCACTGATAGCTCCTGCCTGACATGAGCAAACTGATCTGAGGAGGCATCTGACCAGATAGTTAGGTTCCTAACGTTTACATTCTGTTTAAAATCAGATATCTTTATGGAAGGCAAAAAAAAAAAAAAAAGGCTGGCCCTTCTCTTGGGTGTCCGGAATCTGCCAGACACTGTTTTGAACCAGATTAAGTGCCTTTTCCTCCTGGATGGGGTGTTCTGCGCCACCTTGTGGACCTATTGGGAACAGCACCTTGTCAAGCTTCTCCAGGTTCAGAGGAGATACCACTTTCCCTAACCCTGCCCAGCTGAGAAGTTGAGGGGTCGGCCACACCTCCGTCCCCTGAAGTAAAGACCACGCTTCAAGCTTGCCCAAAGAAGGAGCGCCACAGACCGAGTGAGGATGATGCAATGTTAACCTTCCCACCTCTTCTGCAACGCATCAGACCATCTACGACCCTCATAGCCACCACCTCCCCGTTGCCGGCGAGGCTGTGCGCTGCAGATGGAGATGGGACAACAGCCTGCTCTGAACCTCAAGTCAAGTGCTTTTGTAAAAATAAAGTTCCGAGACTTTTTTCTTTTTTCCCTTTCCAGAGGGAGCAAGAAAATGGGAAATGAAGGTTGGCAACAGCTATTTCCTGCTTGTGAAGTGTTGGTATTTGCAGCACTTCTCTGTGGTTTTTGAGCTGGAAGGGGCTGCTCTTGGCATAGGAACAAGGCAGGACTGGGTTTTCCATCACAGTCACCCCAGCGTGTCTTCGGTAGAAAGGGAAGCCCAGACCCAGCCTGGGGCACAACGGTGCAACCCCTGGGCTCGCATCTGCTTTGGCGAGTGGCCTTTGGAAACCAGCTCTTGCGGGTTCTCTGAGAACAGCACATCGTAGGCTGCGCTGGGTTAGAGAATGTAAGCTCCGGAGCCTCACAGCCCGGACTTTTAGCCCGCCCTCCTTCACACACCAGCTGCATGGCCTTGGGCACATCGCCCATGATAATCAGTCCTCTGGTCTGTACCGTGGGGGGAGGTGGAATAGGAGCTGCCTCGGGGGATGCCTGGAGGATTAACAAGATCCAGCCCAGGGCCTGGCCCCTGGCTGACTCTCATAACTGATCCGGGGAGCAGCCAACACGAGCTAAAGTTCCCGGTGGGGAGGGTAGGGGGTGCTGGGTAAATGTCTCCTAGGAAGCACTGGTGGTGGGTGTGGTGAGGGAGGTGACAGACGCAGTCCTATAGTCTCTGACTCAAAACAACCCCAACCAGGTCCCGATCTCTGTGGAAGTGAGAGTGGCAGCGCAGCCCACCTGGGCACAGGGGGTGCAGCCGCAGACTGAACTGTGCCAAGTGACTGGAGCCCAGGAACGGAGGCGGTGGTGGGTGAGCCTCCCAGCCTCTGGCTGATGAGTGGCTCCCAAGCTCTCCCCAGGGCTCGCCTTTGAGACAGAATTCAGCAGAACATGGTGGGGATGCGATCTGCCTGGGGAGGGTAGTGTGTGTGACAGTCGGGCCGCCAGGGTGAACATGCCTCTTCCAGAAGGCGCCCGAGGGGACACAGAACTCAGCAACAAAGCCTATGGACAGCTTAGTGTCACCTCTGCTCATCTTCCGTTGAAGGGTCTCAGCTCTGGAGTGTGCATCTAGGGTTTCCAGAGGTTACTGTCACCGCACGAGGGAAAGAAATGTACATTTACGGAGCATCTGCTGTGTGCCTGGCCCTATGCCTAGGAGTTTAGACGTTGAATCCTCTCAACGGCCCCATGAAATAAGAGTTGCTATTTTGCCCATTTTACAGATGAGGAGGGGGAGTACAGGGGAGGGGTCTGGCTACTCCAGCCGGCTGCAAGCGGAGCCAGGGTCAGGACGGAGGCAGGAGAGTCTTAGCGGGCTTGATCTCTGTGTGCTGCACGGCCCCGGGCACGGTGCCCCGACCAAGGGAGAGCTTAGCAAGTGCCTGCTGAGTTGAGAATGGAAGCTCTTCATGTGCCAAAGGGGCATCTGGAAACAGGGGCAGATGCCCATGCCAGGCTCTGAAAGGCCAGCTCTGTGAAGCCCCAGCCCAGTCGTCAGTTCAGAACCTGCTGTCACCTGGCCAGTGGCCTGCGGGCCTCCAGCCAGCCATGCACAGGGACCAACCTGACCCACTTCGGTCCTCTCATTGCAGGCAACCCACCTTCCAAAGAGGTGCCGGCGGGGCAGTACCCATTCATCGTCACCTCCGATGACGGTCGGAAGGTTCCTGTGGTCCAGGCCTATGCTTTTGGCAAGTACCTAGGCTATTTGAAGGTTGAGTTTGATGAGAAAGGAAATGTCATCACTTCACATGGAAACCCTATCCTTCTCAACAGCAGCATTCCCGAAGGTACGTGAAATTCAGGGTCCACCAAGCCCACGATGAGGTGGCTGGATTTTTTTCTCTTTTTGGGGGGGGTGGGTGAGTTACTGTTTCAGGACAGTACTTTTGAAGAACTGAGCTTCTCGCTTGGGTTTACTCTTTGTGGATAAGGAGTTTTAAAAGACACCCAAATGGGAGGAGGATATAGCTCAGTGGTAGAGTGCTTGCCTAGCATGCACGAGTCCTGGGTTCAATCGTCAGTACCTCCATTAAATAAATAAATCAATAAACTTAATTACCTCCCCCCCAAAAAAATTTAAGAAGACACCCAAATGCCAGAAACCCCCACTTGCTTCTCCGAGCCCTCTGAGCATCAGACCCTGTGTGGGTGCTTCTTGTGTCTTTTCCAGCTTCCCCCTAGTGAGGGAAAGCCTCTCTCAGCTCATGTCCAGAGAAGAACATATTATTGAAGCAAAGGGGTTCCAACTGGGCAGGCAGGGCTCCACCCTGCCCCCACCCCCAGCAGCCATGTGCCGGGGGCAAGTTGCCCAGTCTCCACGGGCTTCAGTTTATCAAATGAACATGTCATTATTTCTTTTTGGTCTGGGAATCAAAGTAAAAGTACATTTTATGTCATCCACGTCATCTGTTGTACGTGAACACACTCCTCTGCCTCTCTCTCATCTGCCCTTGCCTGCTTAACACAACCCGATCCAGGGAAGGATGGGTGACAAGGAGCCCCCAGAGAGCCAGTACTCACAACACAGAGCTCCCAACAGCCAGAGGGAGGGCGGGGACCACACCGCAGACCCTCCCAGCCCTTGACACCTGCCCTTGAGCCTTTCATCACCCCCTGCCCCACACTAACACTATCCTGGGGGGCCGGCAGGTACTCATTCTGATGTGATGAGTTGATGCTGGTTTTCCTTGGCACATCTTTAAAATAAGAGCCGTTCTAGGGGAGGGTATATATAGCTCAAGTGGTAGAGCGCTTGCTTAGCATGCGTGGGGTCCTGGGTTCAATGCCCAGTACCTCCTCTAAAAATAAGTAAATAAACCTAATTGCCCACCCCTGCCAAAAAAAAAAAATGGTGAAATAAAGACTTAAAGAAAGAAAAGAAAAAAAAAAGCCATTTGGGGCCTTGTTACCAGGAAACAGAATAGAGGTTCATAAGGACATTTCCCAGTCAAAACCAAAATGGTACAGACATGGGGACTCACACCAGGTAAGCTGAATGATGTTTGAGTGTTTCTCCAACATGTAGGCCAGTGTGAGATCTGCTTTAACCACAGGCTGATTTTTTTTCTTTTTTTGCTTCCTTCTAGATCCAAGCATCAAAGCGGACATTAACAAGTGGCGGATAAAATTAGATAATTATTCGACCCAGGAACTGGGGAGAACAATCGTCTACCTGGATGGCACCACTCAGTCTTGCCGCTTTAGAGAATGCAACATGGGTAACCTGATTTGTGATGCTATGGTGAGTGGTTCACGGAAGGCAGGGCCTGTGCCCAGGGAAGGAGGAGCGGAGGCGGTAAGAGGGAGGGAGGCTGTGAGAACAGACAACCTAGTAGTTACAGAATTGAGGATTTTTAAAAATTAGTGCCCAAATGCTTGGCATGGATTCAGGCTGAGTAGCTGCCTGAGCCAAACCAGCAGACCATCACATTATTGCTTTACAAGAACGGAAGTCTTCATTTCACAGTGTTCATCTTAGAGGTCTGAATTTTGGATGTTGATTCCCTTTTGTAAGAGGGTTGGAATCTGCAAATCTGAAGGGGTAGACGCATCTGCTGGGGCCTAACGAGGCCGGGCTGTGTTTTACTGGTCTGTCCTCTTGGCCCCAGAGAACTAGGCCTTGTGTGAACCTCCTTCACAAGCAGCGAATGACCACACGCAGTTCCAGTGAGAACAGTAAGTCCTGTGGCCGAGCAGGGTCACACACGAACAGCACCCCTCCGTCCACCTGCCTGGCCGTGGCGGCCCAGGTCAGACTCACCACACCCACGGGCATCCAGGGGGCACTCCTTTGACTGTGCTCCGCTCAGCACCTGGTGCCAGGGATGCAGCCACACTCAGTAAACATCTGCCAAGTAAACTACGACCTTCACACTTGCCAAGGTGGGGCCGGCGCCGGCTCCTCAGCACCACGCAGTCGGCGCGAGGGAAGTAGGTCAAGAGAAGCCAGGGCGCGAGCGTTTCAGGAGGGCCTGGAAGGACACGCCCCGGGCTCACGGCAGTGCTCACCTCACAGCGAGAGAACAATTCCATTCTCCCCTTGGTGTCAGGAACACGTAGCCACAGCTGGCCCCAAGTCTCCCTCACCGCCTCCACCGTCATAATTTTTCAAATGAGGACGTACTCATTTTATTTCTTGTAACTGAACATGTTATTAATAAAAGAAAAGTTAAGAATGAAATTGATTCTCCACAGTTTCGGGAGGCTGTCCCTGAGTCTCCAAAATTGCCAACTTGGGAACTGGCTGGGGACTTAGACTTGGAAACGGGGGTTCTTGTTGGCCTGAGGTCTAGAGCTGAAAGGCTTTTGGGCCCCGACCTCTGGAGCAAGTGTGGGGCCCGCACTGGGGGAGACAGTGGGGAGCAGTGCCAAGGGCTGGTCTGCACGGGCCCGGTCCTCCCACCCCAGGAGCCGGCTCTGATCGGGCCCGCTGGCGGAGGAGTGCAGGGGTCTCCGGGGAGGGGCCCAGAGCTGCTGGCTCCTCAGAATCTGACATGCGACTGGTCACAGTATCTTAGTTGTTGCTTCTCAGAGTATAAGTCTAGCTCTGACAAGTTGTACTTGAGAAAGCTCTGGGCCCACAGGAGCAGGGGAGAAGCAGCTTTACATCCTCAGTAGAGCTGCGCAGATTCCTGGAACTGAGCCGAAGAAGAAGGCCCGGAATAACGTGAACTGATGCTCCTGTTGCAGATTAACAACAACCTCAGACACACCGATGAGATGTCCTGGAACCACGTGTCCATGTGCATTATGAATGGAGGTGGCATTCGGTCTCCCATCGACGAGCGGAACAACGGTGAGCCCCCCGGCCCGGCACAGGGCCCAGGCAGGGGCTGCCCTCGCCCTCGGGCAGCCGCAGCTCGTCTCTGCTGCCCGCCACCCACCGCAGTGCCAGGCCCTTCGGTTGGGGTGTAACTGCCACTCAGGTCCACGCCCCGCCCCATGAAGGGCACACTCACGCTTGTGTGCTCTCGGACATGTTCGCACACCGAGGCTGCAGCCAGGGTTAGTGGAACCGGGCTTTTGCTAAACTTCTGACTCACAAAGCGAAACACTAATTGCTGCTGATTTATGCAAAATATCGACAGCCTCCTCCTTGATAGCTGGAAAGAGGAGGACAGAATTGCCAATCTGATATGCAGGCAAAAACATACACTGGATATTAGTGCGTTTATGGGTAGCCAGGATGACACCGTATGGGAAAGCAAACCAACTAGGCAGATATTCAAGACCCTCTTGTGGTCTTCCCTGACACGGTCAAAACCACGCACTCTGTGTAAGCCCCAGGCTCCTCTCGTTGTCACACGGGGACAGGCGGCAGGGACACGCTGCCTGTCTGGAGGAGCTGAGCGGTGCTCACACCTGCTGCAGACCCAGCCTCAAGCTGGAGACCCTGGACAGAAGACAGCTGCCTGGAGCCAGAGCCAGTTAGAAGTTCCCGCCGTCTTGCCCAGTGGTGGAGGGCACGGCCGGAGGCCTCTCGATCTGTGCTCCCCCGCGGTGTCAGGAACACCCAGACGCAGCTGTGTGGTCCCAGCAGCCTCCCTGTGGCCCCCTCACCTCCTCCAGCAGCCCTAGACGCTGGTCTTGGGGTGAGTTTGTTCTCAAGCTGTTTTCCTTCTTGCCTCATCCATGACCCCCGCTCAGGCACCATTACCTGGGAGAACCTGGCTGCCGTGTTGCCCTTTGGAGGCACCTTTGACCTGGTGCAATTAAAAGGCTCCACCCTGAAGAAGGCCTTTGAGCACAGCGTGTACCGCTACGGCCAGTCCACTGGGGAGTTCCTGCAGGTGGGCGGTAAGTCACCTTCCAAGGTGAGGAGGAGTTTCCTGCTGGTTGGCTTAGCTCCCCCCTCACCGGGACCACCTGGCCAGGTTTGTTTGGATTTTCACACACCCAACACCAATGCAGTGTCTTTCAATGGCTGTGGACTCCCAGACCACTGAGACTAGGGCGGGGTCAAAGCCACAGGGCCCCGAACAGGAGCAGTATTTGCCAAGTCTGATAGGGACATCAGATGGTCCTCTGCAGGAGCTGGCTGTCCAAACTCTAAGCAAGCAGCTGCCTTGCGGCCTAGTTTCCCTTAAAATCTTAGTGATTTAAAATTCAGTATTCTTTGTTTAAAAAACAAAAACAAAAACAAAAACCCCCAAACCCCTTTCTGTTCTATTTGCAGTTTCCTGGAACCAGGCAGGGGTTCAAAGGAAGGCAGTGTCCAGTGGTATTAACAAGGATAAAATCTCTGGGAGGGCAGCTTGGATGAGACGGTAGAACCCCTGGTTCTGGTTCCACTGTGACCCGGGGCAAGTCCTCCACATCACGAGGACCATCAGAAAACCTCCCTTATCTTGTTGCTGATGACTGCGTTCTTGTACCATCGTAGAAAGAATTCAGAGATGGGATGCAGAGGTTAGGAAAGTAAAGTGGGGGGTTATTAAGGGATGGACAGTACTCTCTCAAAGGGAGAGCGGGCAGGCTCAGGTGAGCGGCTGCTGAGTTTCTTTGGCAAGTTGGATACACAGAGTGTAAAAGTGAATGGACGGACTATTCACTAGGGAGGGGCGTATTCCCTGATTTTCATCCCACCTCCGCCTTCCTGCAGGGAGGAGAGATATTTGTCCTTAGTCTGGATCGGAAGTGTCACGGTGTCAGTGCGTGATGGGTACTTCTCATCTACAAGGCTGATTTTATTGAAATAAGGGCATAAGCAAAAGGTTACATTTGGACACTGGAGGTTCCTGCCTTTTCCCAACTTTGCCTCCAGGCCACTTGTCACCCCAAAATGTGTGACTCCATATCCACCTAGAGGTTCCTGCTTTTCTTTCTCTGCCGGGAACCCCTGTTGTTTACATGATGTAGTGATTCCTGTATCCTTTTTGCTCAATTCCTGCATCCTTTTTGCTCAATTCCTGCCATTTGGCCTGCGTCCCCCTTTTTCTGCTCGTATCTAGCTCTCTGCCTGCTCTAACCAGCTCAGGGACTGCAGTGAAAATGGAAGGAAAAGAAATGCTTCCCGAGTAGCCAGGGACTTCTCAAATGTTTCTTCAGTAATTAATTCCACAGTCCAATGGATTAATCTTTAATATTAATAATCTTATTTGACTCTGACACCTGTCCTGGCCTCATTGTTCAGACGGTAGATGGTGGGCCCCACTTGAGGGGTGTGATTGCTTTGTTGAGCCTTCCCTCTGCAGAGCGCCCCCACGCTGGGATCGAGAGGCTGCAGAGGGTGGCGGACCCTGCCTGCTAGCCCAGACACGCTGCATTTTCCAGGAGAGCCGAGAGGGAACAGCGGGGGTTTGATGCCCCAGCACAGTACTGGGTAGTTGTATGTTTTGTGAAAGTCATCCAGGCCTGAATTATTACCATTTATTAGTCATCAAAATGGCAGCAGACGTTCTGCGCCTCTCATTTCTCTCTCCCTACTAAGTTGCTAGACCAGTTAATTCAGGGTTTTTAAAAGGTGTGGTTTCTCCATGCAGGGTCACCCCTGCCCATTCGGGGCCAGAGCCAATTTTCCTCCCAAGAGTTCTCAGACCTCCCAGAAGGACTCAAAGAAAAACCTAACCAATTTAGGGTAGTTACAGTGTCACCTCAATGCTCTAGCTGAGGTTTCGCTCAAGTTCAAATTAAGTGAAAACTAAGCCCAGTGCCTCAAATCCAGATTTGAACCAAAATCCCTTTCTTAGAAAACAGAGATTTCCCTTTGGATTCATAGACTCATTTCTTTTCTAGGAATTCACGTGGTGTACGATCTTTCCCGAAAACCCGGGGACAGAGTGGTCAAGTTGGATGTCCTCTGCACCCAGTGTCGTGTGCCCAGTTACGAGCCGCTCAGGATGGATGAGGTGTATAAGGTGATCCTGACGAGCTTTCTCGCCAACGGTGGAGATGGGTTCCAGATGATAAAAGACGAAGCATTAAAACACGACTCTGGTAAGCACAAGTGTCCCTTCCCCTCCCTGTCCCAAAGGTACACAAGACTAAACCGGTCCCAAGAGGGAGCTCCGCCAGATGCTGGGAGGGCAAAGCCAGAAACCACATCCACCCTGACTCTTTCCAGCTTTGTTTTTGGGAAACAGGCATGCAACCTGGGGGAATATTGCCCTGCCCCTCCCCAGCTCTCCACCCAAGCCCAGGGAAAAAACATCTTTTTGCATAAAAAGTGTTTTAAAACTCTTAAGTACATATAAATAGCTATATAAATTGTGAAGTTTAAACGACTGTTGCATTTATAGGAAAACCTTACCTCTAGCACTTTAGGTTGTATGTGAGAAACCATATTAAACCATCTAACCTTTTTTTTAAATTTCTTAATTGAAGTACAGTCAGTTACAGTGTGTCAATTTTCTGGTGTACAGCACGTTAGTCACATATATACATATATTCATTTTCATATTCTTTTTCATTGAAAGTTACTACAAGACATTGAATACAGTTCCTGTGCCATACAGAAATTTTTTTTATCTATTTTTATATATAGTAGTTAATATTTACAAACCTGACTCCCAATTTACCCCTTCCCACCCCACCCCCATTTCCCCCAGTCACTATAATATTGTATACTGAGTCTCAGTGTCTATTTGTTTTCTAGATGAATTCATTAGTGTCTTCCCTTTATTTTAGATTCCACATATGAGTGATATCATACGGTAACTTTCTTTCTCTTTCTGGCTTACTTCATGTAGAATGACAGTCTCCAGGTCCATCCATGTTGCTGCAGATGGCATTATTTTATTCTTTTTTATCACTGAGTAGTATTCCATTGTGTAAATATACCACAACTTCTTTATCCAGTCATCTGTCAGTGGACATTTAGGTTGTTTCCATCTCTTGCCTATTGTATATATAGTGCAGCTATGAACACTGGGGTGCATGTATCTTTTTGAATTAGAGTTCCCAGGAGTGGGATTGCTGGATCATATGTTAAGTCTACTGTCAGTGTTTTGAGGAATCCATATTGTTTTCCATAATGACTGCATTTAACGATGGCCATTCTGACTGGTGTGAGGTGATACCTCATTGTAGTTTTGATTTATATTTCTCTGATAATTAGTGATATTGAACATTTTTTCATGTGCCTATTGGCCATTTGTGTCTTCATTAGAGAATAGCTTGCTTAGTCTTCTACCTGTTTTTGGATTGGGTTGTTTGGTTTTTTTTATTAAGTTGTATGAGCTGTTTATATATTCTGGAAAGTAAACCTTTGTCAGTCACATTATTTACAAATATATTCTCCTATTCCATAGGTTGTCATTTTGTTTTGCTTATGGTTTCCTTTGCTGTGCAGAAGCTTATAAGTTTAATAAGTAGGTCCCATTTATTTTTGCTTTTATTTTTATTCCCTGGGTAGACTGTCCTGGGAGAGCAATCCTAAGATTCATGTCAGAGAATGTTTTGCCATTGTTTTCTTCTAGGTTTATCGTGTCTTGTCTTATATTTAAGTCTTTAAGCCATTTTGAGTTTATTTTTGTATATGGTGTGAAGGAGTGTTCTAACTTCACTGATTTACATGCAGCTGACTAGTTTTCCCAACATCACTTGCTGAAGAGACTGTCTTTTCTCCATTGTATATTCATGCCTTCTTTGTCAAAGATTAATCGACCGTAAGTCTGTGGATTTATATCTGGGCTGTCTGCTCTGTTCCATTGATCCATATGTCTGTTTTTGTGCCAATACCATGCTGTTTTGATTACTGTAGCTTTGTAGTATTGTCTGAAGTCTAGGAGGGTTATTCCTGCAGCTTCATTCTTTTTCTTCAGTATTGCTTTGGCAATTCTAGGTCTTTTGTGATTCCATATAAATTTAGAATTATTTGTTTCAGTTCTGTGAAAAATGTCTTGGGTAACTGGATAGGGATCGTTTTAAATCTGTAAATTGCCTTGGGTAGTATGGCCATTTTAACAATATTGATTCTTCCAATCCAAGAGCATGGGATATCTTTCCATTTCTTTAACTCATCTTTAATTTCCTTAATGTTTTGTAGTTCTCCACATAGAAGTCTTTGACCTCCTTGGTCAGATGTTTTCCTAAGTATTTTATTGTTCTCGAGCAATTTTAAAAGGGATTGTTTCTTTACTTTCTCTTCCTGATATTTCATTGTTAGTATAAAGAAATGCAACTGATTTCTGTATGTTAATCTTGTATCCTGCTACCCTGCCAAATTCTTTCATCAGCTATGGTATTTTTCGAGTGGAGCTTTTAGGGTTTTCTATATATAGTATCATGTCATCTGCATACAGTGACAATCTTACCTCTTGTCGTCCAATTTGGATTCCTTTTATTTCTTTTTCTTGCCTGATTACTGTGGCTAGGACTTCCAGTACTACATTGGATAGATATGGTGAGTGGGCATCCTTGTTTTGTTCCAGATTTTAGTGGGAAGGCATTCAACTTTTCACCATTGATTATGCTGGCTGTGGGTTTTTCATAAATAGTTTTTATTATGTTGTATTATGTTCCCTCTATACCCTCTTTGCTAAAAGGTTTTATCATAAATGGGTGCTGAATTTTATCAAATGCTTTTTCTGCATCTATTGAGATGATCATGTGATTTTTGTCCTTTCTTCTGTGGATGTGGTATATATCTCATTGATTGATCTGCATATGCTGAATCATCCTTGTGTCCCTGGGATGAATCCAACTTGATCATGGTGTATGATCTTTATGTGCTGTTGGATTCTGTTTGCTAACATTTTGTTGAAGACTTTTGCATCTATATTCATCAATGATATGGGACTATAATTTTCTGTTTTGGTAGCGTCTTTGATTTTGGTATCAGAGTGATGGTGGCTTCATAGAATGGGCTTGGGGGTACTCCCTCCTTTTCAGTCTTCTGGAAGAGTTTGAGAAGGAGTGGTGTGAGTTCTTTGTATGGTAGAATTCCCCAGTGAGGCCATCTGGTCCTGGACTTCTGTTTGCAGAGAGGTTTGTTATTGCTGATTCTATTTCACTTCTAGTGATCGGTCTGTTCAAATGATCTATTTCTTTTTGATTCAGTCTTGGACTGTGTATTTCTAGAAACTTGTTCATTTCTTCTAAGTTCTCCAATTTGTTGCCATATAGTTGTCCACAGTATTCTCTCATGGTTTTTTTTTTCTTTTGTATTTCTGTAGTGTTGGTTGTAATTTCTCCATTTCCCTTTCTTATTTTATTTGTCCTCTTTTCTTGATGAGCCTGGCCAAAGGTTTGTCAATTTTGTTTACTCTTTAAAAAAACCAGCTCTTGGTTTGATTTTTTTCTGTTTTTTTTAATCTCTCTTTTATTTAATCTCCTCCCTGATCTTTATTATTTCTTTCCTTCTGACTTTAGGTTTTGTTTGCTCTTCTTCTAACACTTTTAGGTGTTAGGTTAGGTTGTTTATTTGAGATTATTGTTCTTTTTTGAGGAAGGCCTGTATCACTATGAACTTCCCTCTTAGGACTGCTTTTGCAGCATCCGCAGATTTTGTGTGATTGTCTTCTCATTGTCATTTGTCTCAAAGTATTTTTTAATGTCTTGTTTGATTTCATCATTGACCCATTGGTTTTTCAGTAGTTCAGGTATACAACATGATGATTTGGTATTTGTATCACTGTAAAATGATCACCACCAAAAGTCTAGTTAACACCTGTCACCTTACATGGTTACAAACAAAATTTTTCTTTCTTATAATGAGGTTTTTTCAGATCTATTCTTGTAGCAACTTTCAAATATACAATACTGTATTGTTAACTATAGTCACTATGCTGTATATTACACCCCAAGAACCCATTTATAACTGGAAATTTGTAAAACCTTTTGACCCCCTTCACCCCATTTTGAACCTTCACCTCACCCTACCCCTGCCTCTGGCAACCACCAATTTGTTCTCTGTCTTAGCTTGGTTTTATTGTTGTCTACTTCTATGTAAGTGAGATCATGTGGTGTTTTTCTGTTTGAATTATTTCACTTAGCATAATGCCCTCAAGGTTCCATCCATGTTGTTGCAAATGGCAAGTCCATTCTTTTTTATGGCTTAGTAGTATTCCATTGTGTATGGAATCTTTTTTATTCATCCATTGATGGACATCTGTTTGCTTATCTTGGCTACTGTAAATAATGCTGCAGTGAACACGTGGTGCATATATCTTTTCAAATTAGTATTTTCATTTTCTTTAGATATGGTAATTCTAGTTTTAATTTCTTGAGGAACCTCCATGCTGTCTTCCACAGTGGCTGCACCAATTTATATTCCCATCACCAATGCACAAGAGTTCCCTTTTCTCTTCATCCTCACTGACACTTGATTTTTCTTGTCTTCTTGCTAACAGTCATCTTAACAGGTATGAGATGGTATCTCATTGTGATTTTGATTTGCATTTCCCTGATGATTAGTGATGTTATGCATCTTTTCGTGTGCCTGTTGGCATCTGTATGTCTTCTTTAGAAAGATGTTCAGATCCTCTGCCCATTTTTTAATCAGTATTTTTTTTTTTGGCTATTGAATTGTATGAGTCCTTTATATATTTTAGATATTAACTCCTTATCAGATATATGATTTGTAGAATGGTATTTTTTTAAGTAAAATTCATGGGGAATTAGTATTTGTCAGTTCTCCTTCCTTTGGGATTTGAAACCTCCTTTGTCTCACAAGCACTTAAGTGAAAATGATTCCTGAACAGGCAAGGAAAAAAAAGAAGCCACTTTTACGTCTTAACTGATTCTCTGATCCTCAGCCTACTTCCCTAATGTCCTTGCTCCAATTTGGTTCAGAGGCAGTGATGTCAGCAACCTTTCTTGAGTCATCTCAGAGCTGAGACAACTCTTTTCCCCTGCAATTATCCAGTATTGGACAATGAGCACATTTCACACTTGGAACATGAAAAAGCAATCAGATTCTTTGCACTTATGATCACCATTGTTCTTTTCTTCTGTGACACTTTATCTCTGCTTGTGAAAGTAATATCTTCCTTCTTAAAATTACAAAGGACTTTAGAAAAATACATTCGTTTTCCTCCTTACTATTAATTGTTATTTTTTCTGTAGGTAAAATAATATACGTGTTTTCCTAGGTGACCAAGACATCAGCGTGGTTTCTGGATACATCTTAAAAATGAGAGTAGTTTATCCAGCAGTTGAAGGTCGGATCCAGTTTTCTGCAGGAAGTCATTGCCATGGAAGTTTTTCTCTAATATTTCTTACAGTTTTGGCAGTGATCATTGTTTTATACCAATAGCTTCCTTGCCATTAATGGAACTGCATTTTTTTCTCAAGTGAGGCTCCAGTCTGCCTTTTAGGAACTGGTTTTATGATGACGCAGACCATCCTTGCAGTCTCCCAGAAGCTGAGCTTAGAGGGTTGTAAATGAAGACACTGATATCAAAACTCAGGATCAGCAACTTAGTGAACACACAGGAAAAGAAGTGAAAATGGACCCTATGAGGAGAATGGCAACCATCTTTAGTTTACGTATGTAAATTTTAATAAAATTTTATTAACAATTTTAAACCATCCACATCCTTTTTTTCCTTTATATCCATTCTAATCCAACAAACAATGTATGCTTACATAGAACTTTATCATTTACATGGGCATTTTCAGCACGTTATCTTATTTGATGCCCATAACTTTCTTTGCTAGGCAAGACAGGTATTGTTCTTCTCATTTGACAGATGAGGAAACGGAAGCTCAGAAACAGTTGACTTGTTCAAAGCCATACAGCTAAAAGGGACTGATCCCAGACCTGCACCTAGTCCTTCTGAACTCAGTCCAGCACCCTTTCAACTATATGCAGGAAATGTTCAGAATGACACTAATGGTCTCCTGTCTTCATAACTATCGGTAGTCCCAAACTCATGGGTGACAAGCCTCTGCTGTATTCCTAGTCTCTATTTGTTTCCTTTTTAGCTCGGGCTGTTGTAGCAAGTTTAACAGACATGGGTGACATTCTCTCTTGCACCACCCATGTGCCTTTGATGAGTCAGAGGACAAATGGTGCAGAGGATTAATGGGAGAAGCCAGAAGCTGCAAAAGGCAGTCAAGGGGCAGGGAGAAAGGGCGGGAGAAGCAGGACACCCAGAACCAACCTACAGTACGTCTGATTTGTTAAACAGATGCTTGCTAAGAAACAGCAGCAGAGTGCCTGGCATGGGCTTCTGTCAGTTCTCCCTGTGTTCCTTCCTCCCTCCTTCCTAAGGTGAAGGTGTCATGAGAAGGGGTAATTCTAAACCTGCACCTGTCTCTCCCCAGCAAGATGCCAGTGCTGTACTTAGTCCAGACACACACGCTGACTCCACCCCCTCCCCCAGTTATGGCAAATCCAGAGGGGAGACAAGGTTGAGTTTTTTCTTAATGGTATATGTAAGTCTGAAATCAGCTCTGCCTCCAAATCTGAACAATCAGTCATGCTAAGTCATCCTCAAGATAAGAGGACTTTTGCCTGAGAGTGGGCCCCTCTGGGTGCTCAGGAAATACCCAGACTGATGCAATAAATGATCTATGCACAAAGAACAAATACCTGTGGGACCATGTGAGCCTGCCCATCACTGTGTGAGTGATTCAACAAATAATGGGAGCCTCACCCTAAAAAATAGTGAGCAAACAGCAGCTAAAGGTTTGAAGAGGGGGTAAGTTTGTTTTTTAATGTTTACAAATATTATGTACCCTTGATACAAAATATACTTTAAAATTTCACAGCCTGTTTATAAAGGATGTTGCAGTAAAATAATGCCCTAGGTTCTATGCATATACAGACTGGCTGTCAATCAACAAATGTCAGTAAGACTGTAAGAAGCAAATGTCAGTAAGACTGCATTTGGGGTATATGTTTTTATGCTTGGCCAGTAAAACAGGGTAAATCCTATTGAAGCACAAATTTTTAGAGAACATTTCTGTAAGTTTTCTAAATATGTGTGCACGTATTTTGCAGTGGTTTACAACATGACCTAAAAACACTTGGCAATTTTAAGTTCCAAACAATAAAATTGAAAATATGCTCTTTCTCTTTGGTAGTTATTTCTTCTCTCAAGCAAATGCCTACACCCCAAGACAATGACTGAAGGGAAACTCGTTGACAGTTTATCACTGGTATTATAAGCCCCTTGCCATCTGGTTACCCTCCATATCCCCCTTCTCACCCAAAAACTGAGACTAAAAATGCATGCAAGTTTTAGGTAGGAAAGAACAGTAAACAAAGGATATTTGAAGTAAGGCTACTAAATTTTATGGCTTTTATGTATAGAATCTGTTTTGAAGCCAGTAATCATTTCCTAAAAATAAAAATGCTCAAGTTATACAGTGTTAGGGATTTTCATTAATTTATCTGAACTGGCTGTGCATCTAAGAATCTTCCTCAGTTAATACTGATGAAGCAACAGTCCAGCTGTCACACTTTGATCAATCAGACACATTAAATCCACTTGGTGGCAGTGCTGCCTTCAGCAGTTTACAGCACAGAGTAAGACCCCTCAGGGAGTACGTGGCCCCATGGATATATGGCTTGGCTTGCTAAAATCAGTACCATTCCCACATGTACCTTCCGGGGGCTGTTGTAACAAAGTGCTACAAACTGGGTGGCTTAAACAGCAGAAACTCATCATCTCATGGTTCAGGGGGCTAGAAGTCTGAGATCAAGTTGGCAGGACTGGTTCCTTCTGAGGGCCAGGAGGGAGAATCTGTTCCAGGCCTCCTCCTAGCTCTGGTAGCCTCAGACATTCCTTACCTCGTAGGTGGTATTCTCCTCATATTTTTACATCCTTTTCCCTCTGACTTGTCTGTCTCTGGGTCCAGATTTCCCCTTTTTATAAAGACACAGTCATACTGGATCAGGCCCACCCTAATGACTTCGTTTGAATCATCTGTAAAATCCCAAATAAAGTCACATTCACAGGTACTGGGGGTTGGGACTAAAGTTCTGCCACAGGACGTCAACATCCTTTTTAGGGGACACAATTCAACCCGTAACAGTCCCCCGAATGACCTACATAATCAGCCGGGACAGCCCTGAGGCAACCTTACAAATGAAAGGTTATAAATGTTGTTACTATTGTACTAGTAAAATAGAACACATCTTAGAAACTGATCTGGTTCAACTACAGCAAATCAAAAGGGACAGTTTTCCTAACTAGTGCTGTCCAAAGGAGGCACTTTACACTTCTGAAACAAGCTAGGAGATCTCAACTCTCTAGTAAGTAGTACTGAGCCCTCTAAGAACCACTTTTAAATGAAATACTTCATGAAAACTTTACAAAAAAGTCTGTAAGCAGAGACATACTGGAAGGATGTGAGCTAGTTCCCAGAATCATCTAGAGGCATGGAGAGCCAGGCCTAGAAAATGGAGAGCAAGCAAGGAACGTGAGGCATGGCTAAAATCCTGCCACAAGCACGGCCTTCATACACCGCCCTAGTGCTGCTGGGTTCACCTCCACCACAGGTACACCCGCGAGGGCTTCTGACTGTCCCGCAGACCCCAATCAGATGGGAGCAAGTAACAGGCAGAGCCTGGTTCAGGCCTAAATTATCCTTCATAAAGATAAAAGAAGGCTGAGTGGGGATTTAACTCCAGCGCTTGGCTTCCATAGTGTACATCAATGCACTCTCCCCAATTACCTTGGAATTCCTCCAAATAAAGATGTTCCAATTCTGGAACATCGAAAATGAGAAATGAATACTCCAAGAATTTTCTAGTACAACAAATAAATATGAAATGATGTTAAAAAGAAAAACACTACCTTCTGTGTCCGTCTTGAAAACTATACCGAGTTCTTCCTCTCCAACAATGTACATTCACATGTGATACCTAGATTTTTATGAAAGGCAAAAAGATGCTAGAAGTAAATAACACCACAGGGTTGGGGCTTGTTTTGGGGTTTTTTGGTAATTTAATCATTAAATAATCTGTGAGCATATCAGTAATGAAGTCAGACCCTAAGATATGTTGGTATTAGTTTATAAAGAAAAATAAATATAGTTAATCAAATTTGAGCTCAAAATTTTTAATTTGATGTTGATTGCTTTTCAGATCTATACAGATAAAGTAAGGAAATCCATACATTTAAAAAACATCAAATTAACAAGACACAGTGAAATAAAAAAGCTATTTTTGACTGGATTTAACAGTCTTCTAGGGGCTATCAGCCTCAGGTTAAAGATTTCACCTCATGTATCTAGCACTGTTGAAAAAGAATACTGGATACATAAAAGAGAACACATTCTGACCTGCAAGACTTACTTGTTTGTTCATTCCTTCATTCAGTCAGTCATTTTATTCTAGTGTTGACCAAATCTGAAACTACAACTTGTGTATATATCATTACACAGTCTGCAAAGAACAGTGGCAAATTAGACTTCTGTTTATATTTCTACTATAAAATCTAATGGTTTTCAGTAAGTCAATAAATGAAAATTTAAGTGCTTTCAACCATTTCTCAGACTTTTCTGATATCTATAACTAAATGATTATACTTATAATACAAACTTACAATGTCCTTCATAAATTTCAAAGTGTCTTCCATCTATTTAATTTCATAGAACCACCCCAACCAGAAACAATGATAGTTATTTCTATAAACACATTTCCAGGTGTGAAGCTCATGCACTAGAGGACACACATAAAGATGGATAGAAAGGAATGTTCAAAGTAAAATATTTGAAATACACCAGAGGGATCCAAAGTGACCACTTTTGGAAATAAAAGCTCCTTTTATGGGGTAACACTGACAAGAACATGAAGACTAGCGACAGATCTAAGTTTGAATTCCAATTTCACCATTCTCTAGCTTCAATATCCTCACCTATAAAATAGGAATAATACCAACTCACAATTACTGTGATGGACGATGAAATGTATAAAATGCCTGACCAACAGAGACTGCATCTAGTTCCCTTCCCTTTTATAATGTGAACGACTAATTTTGTATGTGTAAATTTTCATACATCACATTTTCTTTAAATAGAGCTCACACACTGCTATGGATTTAAATATGTCCTCCTAAAATTCGTATGTTTAAACCCTAAACCCTAATACGACTATATTTGGAGATGAGGCCTTTATGAGGTAACTAAGGTTAAATGAGGTTCTAAGGCCTAATCCAATAGCTTATGGCCTTATACGAAGAAGAAGTCAGAGAAATATCTCCTTCCCTCTTTCTTTCCTTGCCTGCACAAAGAGGTCATGTGGGCACACGGTGAAAAAAGACAGCCTCCTACAAGCAAAGGGAAGAGGTCTCAGAATGCAACTACCTTGCAGGCACCTTGATCTTGGACTTAGCAGTCTCCAGAACTGTGAGAAACAAATTTCTGTTAAGTCACCCCATCTATGGTATTTTATTATGGCAGCCTTGGCTGACTGATACACTCATAACTCTTTTCTCATCTAAATAAATAAAATACCAAAAATTATAGGAAAGTAGGTGAGGATGGCATAAAAAGGGCTATAAAATATTTTATTTTTCCAGGTCACCATGACATTTTAAATAATATTCAAAATGCTATGGATTTAAATGTAAAGAGTTAGCCTGATTGATTTGCCACCTGTCCCTGAGAAACCAGTAAAATGTTTAAGGCTTTGTATTAAAGCACTGATTCACGGAAACTCATACATATTCTAGAATTTTTAAGCAATTAAAAAGATAAATAGAACTACTGACAAAACCTTCACAAAAATTTATAATACCTAACGACTATTTTTTAAAACCTTGGGAAAAAAATAAGTGAATGGTATCATTAAATGGGTTAGTTTTCCAAATTATATTTAGAGTTCCTGCATTATCAGTGCCTGCTACATGGCTGAAACTCAGTAAATATACTCTGAATGAACACTGCAGCCAATATCCAAACACAAAATGGCCAATCTTGACAGACAAATGTGTTTCAAGGAGAAAAGCACAGCAGGGGAAGGAATTATAAGTAGAGTTCTAAACACTCAAACTTCAAAGATAATCATTTAAGTTAACTTTCCTAAATGAATACACTTAATTCATATTTTTCTTTTGGAGAGACAATGTAAACCAAAAATCTACTTGACTAAACTTTTATGTAAGCTTTGGAATATAGTTACATACATTCAGTGAAATGTAGCTGCAACCACACAACCACAAATATCTTTTAAGTACTGTTTTCACACCCAAAACAGCTATCTATAACCTGTCAATCATCCAGCAAGAGTAAGGAGAAATCCTTGTTTGTTATGAAAAACTCATAAAGAATCTCTTCCTTATAGACACACAGTTCACTATGTAGAAAAATGAAAAGGGGTAGGGAGGGAATCTACTAAAATGTATTAACTCTAAGAAAGCAAATCAGATCTTACTTCTGTTTCTCTACATGAGACATAATTGTTTTCAAAGTGATACAATACAAACGTTATCAGTCTTATCTATTTGCCCCAAGGAGACTATGAATTATCTCTTTAAAAAACACCAATAACAAGTGATGTATGTCTAATAAAATTTGGATAACAGAAGCAAAATGAAAGGCTATGAGACCCAATCACCTTTAATCATTATTATTAAGTCTGTTAGTCTTTATTAAAACAAAACAAAAACCCAAAATTTCAGACACTGAATTACATGATATATACAAAATATACAAAAGTAAAAGAAAAAAAAGTACATGTCTACTACCCTAGCACAACAGAAATTTCAACTGGTTATTCAAACCCAAATCCAAATGTTTTTTATATCCAGGACGTCACAGAGGTAACTTCCTTTTGTACCTAAAGTAAAAATAAATCTGTTTAATAGAAGATTAAAAAAAAAACCAGAGTTCATTTGTGAATTGCTTAACAGTTCCAGTGTATAAAAATTCTAACCTAAGACATAATATATATATATATATATATATCTTAAAAACCCACAAGAAATCAGCTGGCCTAAGTCTCAGAGAACTGAAGCTTTCTTGATACTGATTCCCATGTAAGTTGAACACAAAATGTCCATAACCGCCACCCTGTTCCAGTATAATTTAATATTGCTATAACATGAAAACTTGTATTTAAAT